TCAAAAATTAATCCTTTTGGTTGAAGTGAGTTATCAATCTAAGCCTTAGACTCTAAGGTTATTTTTCCCATATTGATAGTCACTTTTCCCCAAAACATATATTGAATACTTTTATATTCCTTTGTTTATAAATAGATGAGATACATATTAATTTAGGAAATCTCTATCTCCTTGGGCTAATTTTTGGTTAGGCCATTTTGATAACTACTGTTCCTTAATAAGACACTTTAATATCTGGTGAGGCCAATTCTACAATTTTGTACTTTCATTACAAAAATGTACTTTTTTCACATTTATTTTATTGTTATCTTGTCATTTTCTATAAAGTAACCCAGTGGAATTATAAATGATACTGCTTAAATTTATTAATTAACTTGGTGTGGCTCCATAGTGTAGTGGTTAGCACATCTGCTTTACCCGCAGAAGGTCCTGGAGCCATGGACCATACCCTGGGTGCTCCAGGCCCTGGGTGCATATGCGAGTGTGTGGGAGGAGACGCTCCACCTTCAGAGATCCAGTTCTTAAGGGGAAACGGCAACATCTATAGGTCAGGGGCGGAATTGGGGGGAGGAGTAGAATTAAAAAGGACAAAAATAAATTTATTAATTAACTTGAACATTATTTTATTCTTCATCATTTCAACTTTCCGGTCAGCAGGAGACTATATCTTTACATTCTTTACCCCAAATCATCTCATTTTAGACTTAAGAGAGTTTAGATGTCATTCAAGTTCTGGTTCTGGGCCACCCTCCCCCGTTCATATCATTTTATAGATGATCAACCCAAGGCCCAGAAACAAATGGTCAGACTAAGGCCTAAAAACCTGTATCTGGATGGGCACAAAGCTGAAAAACAAACACACAAACAAACAAACAAACAAACAAAACAACCCAGGGCCTATCTTATTCTATACTTTTTCTATCACAAAATGTATATTCAAGTCTTCATTCACTACCTTTAACACTTTAAAACTATCTTTTACAGATATTAGATATATTCCAGTTTGCTTGTTTCTAGGAATTTTCTAGATTGTAGTAGAAAAAAATGAGCGTGATGATCAATTTTGGGCAAATGGTTTCTTCCATTCCATCATATTTTCCTGAATGGTTTTTTTTGATAGGGAAAAGCAAAATGACTTTTGAACTGATCTCCTGTGTTTCTGGGCCACTCTATCTTATCTTTTAAAGGGTTTTTATCATGAATAATTGTTTCTCATGCACTTAGAGTCTGCAGGGAAGTATGTTAGATACACAAAAAGAAAAAATTGCAGAATCTTGCCTTCTAAGAGATTCTCCCAATCAAATTCAGGACACCAGATATAGAGTTTATCAATTTCATCTAACAGAAAATCCACATAACAGTGGTTTAAAGAAAATATGGATTTGTCTCTCACGTAATAGGAAGTCTGAAAATAGGTGATCCAGGGCCATTATGCCAGTTCCACAGTGTCATCAGGCACACAGGCCCCTTTCTGACATCTACTTTGATATCAGGGTGTTGGTCTCATCATCACATATACCATAAAATTGCTAGCTCTCTAGCCATAATGACTAATTTCCAGGCAGAAAAAAAATAGGCAAAAGGCTAGTGCTGAGTCGGATCCTCTTTAAGTAATTTTTCTGGAAGCCTTCTGGTGACATCTGCTTCTATCATTGCTCAGACTGTGTGAAATGACCAGCACTAGCTGCAAGGGAGCTAGCTAGTGAGTGTAACATTTTAGCTAGGCACATCGCTACCTTCAATAAAATAAAAAATATGATTGCAAATAAGAGCGAAGAATGGATACTGGGCAGGCAATTAGTAGTCTTTTCCACACAGTGTATAAGGTGGAAGGCAAAACATAGAGTGGTATTTTGTTCAGGCTAAGACAATACAGCTAACGAGAGAGATTAGTATGTGGCCTTGCTGGTTAAATTGGATATAGACAAATGGTGGTGGGCAGAGGGAGCATTTCAAGACCAGAAAGGGCCTGAGCAAAGATGCAACAAGAGTTCTCATAGCAGGTTTGAGGGAGAATAGCAGCAGGGAAGGAGGGAGGGACTTCCTTTGTATTTAGAATGTCTTTCTGGGAGTGTGGGATGTGCAGAAATGCAGGCATGGATTGATTATCAACTCTTCTTACCCATCACTGCCTTCCTAATTAAATCTTCATAACAATTACTAACATGTATTAAAACCAACTATGTGCCAGAGAATTTGCTAGGTGTTTTAATATATATCACCCCTAATCCTTGTAATAACTCCATTTTAGGGATAAAGAAACTGAAGCTAATACAGATCAAATACTCGACCAAGGTCATGAATCTTTTAAATGTAAGATACCCTGAATTGGATCTTAGACCAGACTCCATGTTTTCTCACAATGTCACGTGCTAACTTCCACTATTCCTCGATAGTTTCTAAATTCTAAACTTCAGGGGAACTTTACAAACTCTCCCACTAACAAGCAATGTGACCATGGACAAACTACTTAACTTCCCTGGATCTGAATCAATTTCCCTAGTACTCAGATACAAACCTGATAGATATTACAATAAAAAGAACACTGCAAATCATTCATTATCCCTCATAACCACAGATGTGAAAATTCTAAGCAAAATTTTAATCTGTGAAATCCAATAATATACAAAGTGAATAATAAAACAAAGTGAGGTTTATCACATGAATACTAAATTGGTTTAACATTTGAAAATAAATAAGAAAAAAAACCCTATGATTATCTTAATAGCTGCAGAAAATGCAGTTGATTTAAATCCAACATCCTTTCCTGATAAAAATACTCAGCAGACTACAATAGATAGGAATTTCCTTAATCTGATAGATTCCTTATCTGTGAAAAACCTATAGCTAACATCATACTTAATGTGAAAGACCGAATAATTTCTCTCTAAGATCAGAAACGACAAGAATGTTCATTCTCACAACTTCTACTCAACGTTGTACAGATTCTAGCCAGTGCAATAAGGAAAGAAAAAATAATCAAAAACATCTGTATTGGAAAGGAAAACTAAGACTCTTTCTTCACAGATGACATGGTTGTCTATGTAGGAAATCTGATAAAATCTATAAAAATGTTCCTAGAACTAAGAAATGAGCTTAGCAAAGTTGCAGAATACAAAATCAGTACACAAATCTCTTTTCAAAAAATAAAACAGATTGAAATTAATAAAACAATAAATAGCATCAAAATACAAAATACTTCAGGATAAACCTGTCAAAAGCTATGTAAAATCTATACACCGAAAACTGCAAAACAGTGCTGAGAAAAATTAAAGAAGACCTAAATAAATTAAGAAGCATATCTCATACATGAATCAGAGAATTCAATATTGTTATATAAATCCTCCCCAAATGTATGGATAGAGTCAATGCAATCCCAGTCAAAACTGTAGAACTTGAGCTAAACCTGAAATTTATGGTGAAACACAGAAAATCTAAATAGCCAAAACAACTTTGGAAAATAACAGGAAAATTCATCACTGAAACTAGCTGATTCCAAGCACAGTGATCAGAACATTGTGGCATTGACATAAATATAGACACACCAATGGCTGGAACAGAATAGGAAGTCCAGAAATAGATACACGCATTGATAGAAAGCTGATTTTTTTAAAGCAATTCAAAGGCAGTTCAGTCTTTTCAACAAATGGTGCTGGAACAATTGGATATCCATACGCAAAACAAAAAAATAACAAAAATAAACAAACAAAAAATTTTGGCATATGCAAAAATTAACTCAAAATGGATCATAGACCTTAATGTAAAACCAAACTATAAAAGTTTAAACTTAGGAGAAAAACTTGAGTTAGGCAAAATTTCTTAACTATAACACTGAAAAGCATTATTGATATGAGGGGAAAAAAAAACAATAAACCGGACTTCATTAAAATCTTCTGCTCTTAAGACAATATTAGGAAATAGAAAAAACAAGCCATAGACTAGGAGAAAAATCCTTGTAAAGCATATGCTTGATAAAAGCTTTGTATCAAGAATACATAAAGCACTCAAAAATAAGAAAACAACCCAATAATAAATG